CTTTCTATATATCTATTGGACATCTATTTAAATAGGGGGCTATATGGTAATGTGTAAACTACCTATGAGGTCAAGCTTTTTTTATAGTTGAAATTTATAGTCTAGAGTGAGACAGATATTTTGTATCAGACATACTACTACAATTTAATCATTAATAAAAGTTGATACAATTGCAATGATACAACAGTGTTAATCTGATTTTTGTTAAATGATAACAAAACAATTTATGATTTTAGATGACAAAACCATTTATACCAGTGAGACAGAGAGAGAGAGAAATCTGTCCCTATTCTGAAGAATTAGTAAAAATCTCTAAGATACTTTATTTTAACCAAAAAAGTTTAAGACATCTAAATATAACTGTCTAACACAGACAGAGAAGAATATACAAGGTACATACAGACAAGGGAGAAAGGGGGAATAAATACAAAAAAACACAAGAAAAAAATATAGAAGAAAAAATAATAATAGGCATAAATCCAGACAGATAATCTGAACAAAGCTAATAACAGCAATCTGCCAGAATCCTGATTTGGAAACACCAAAATGACAATCAAAGCTACTAAGAGCTATGTAATAGAATCAAGTGCTATAATGTGAGAAGGAAGCCATTAGACATATAAATAGCTGACTCAATGTCATCAGTTTGCTACATGTGTTGCAAGAATGTATCACTAGGTGAATACAATATGTTATGTAGTAATTTGTAACAGTTCATTTACAGACTCAAGTTTTTCAGGAGGCAATGTCGAGCCAGGGTGACCTATAAACCTGAAAGTAGTTCTGTACCAACAAAAATAAACTGTAGTATGAGAAGAAAACTATTAAATATGTAAATGGCTAGATCGATACCATCAGTTTGCTACATGTATTGCCAGAAGATATCACTAGATGGGTACAAGGTGCAATGTGATAATTGTTATAATTGTGATAATTGTTAACAAATCGTTCACAGTCAGAGGCTTAACAAGGAAGCAATATCAAGCCAAAGTGAACTGTAAATACAGGACCTACAATCTAGTCCTGTGTTGGCAAGCTGAATGGATAGTATAAAACTAATACAATTCAATAAAACATGTAGCACTGTACGACCATAATATAGCGCGATTCGTGTAGTCGCTAGATGTCCAACAAAAATTGACTAAATAGTAAATATGAGAGATACCTAGCTGAGTAATATGAAAACACCTAATAAATGTGACTAAATAAGATGAAACAGGAATAGTGCCTTCATGGGCACTAGTAACAGTAAAGTACAAGGAGTGTAAAGTATGACAGAGCAAGATGCTCAAAGATTGCTAATAATAGGGTGTACTGGCAATAGCTAAGCTTAATTAATACCCTGATTGGTATTTTGCTTCCCAATAGCTAGAAGTAGGCTCATGATCAGCCAAATTCTATGGTTGCCAAAAATAATCACTGGGTTATCGTCTGATATGCGGTCAAAACCACAGCGCTAATACCATGAAGGAAAGAAAGATACAAACAGTGATAACAAGACAGATCAATATATTACTTCATGTTAACTAGACTAGCTATAAATTTATAGCCCAAACCTAGAGGGTACCCAGAAGGATCACTGGGTTATCCCAAGCTGACAAGTTAGGACTACGGCAAATAGAGAGGAGAGGGATGCAAACATAAGTGTCGGAGAGAAATCAAAGCAGTGTCGCAGGCTAGAGTTCACTCTCATCACTAGGACCACCAGGGCAGCACGGTTAAAATGCAGACACACAGCACCCCTCACACACTCACATTACCCCTTCACACACACAGCAAACACACAGCACCCCTCACAGACACAGCACACACACACACACACACACTGTAGCGGAGAGCAGTGGTAGCAGGGCTTCTCCTCCGCTGGTTACTCCAATAGCTATTCAGGAACAACCTGGAAACTTCAAGACAGCAGGCATAAATACAAGATGATAAACGAATATCCCATCACCCTTCCCAATAACTGGATGACACTCAGTTTTAGGAGCAGAACTGATCCTTTAATGGCCAGGCTGGCCTTTTATGCAGGTTTTGCCCCAAAGGTTACCACCCAGGTGGACCTTGTGGGGCACCGATAAAAATATACATCAACCAGTAAAAACAGAGTTAAGTCACAAGACACTCCCATACACTGTATACAACCCCTCAGGGGATAATTGAGTTAATTACTGTATCAACTCAATTATCCCAAAACAGAAAAATCACACTTTTCACACTTTTCTCTAAACACCCCAAAAACATATCCTATATACATATCCAACATCCCCTCATAGCCCGATCTGGGAGAGCAACATACTGAAAAATCACCCAGATCGGTTCACTAGTTCGAAAGTTTTAAACATGGAATATGACGGCAGATAAGAACCATTTGGCCCATCTAGTATGCCCAATTTTTTAAAATACTTTCATTAGTCCCTGGCCTTAACTTATAGTTAAGATAGCCTTATGCATATCCCATGCATGCTTAAACATATCCCATGCATGCAGTTTACTGTGTTAACTTCTACCACGTCAGCTGCAAGGCTATTTCATGCATCCACTACCCTCTCAGTAAAGTAATACTTCCTGATATTATTTTTAAACCTTTGTCCCTCTAATTTAAGACTTTGTCCTCTTGTTGTGGTAGTTTTCTTCTTTTAAATATCGTCTCCTCCTTTACTGTGTTGATTCTCCTTTATGTATTTAAATGTTTCTATCTTATCCCCCCTGTCTTGTCTTTTGTCCAAGCTATACATGTTAAGTTCCTTTAACCTTTCCTTGTAAGTTTTATCCTGCAATCCATGAACCAGTTTAGTAGCCCTTCTCTGAACTCTCTCTAAAGTATCAATATCCTTCTGGAGCTACGGTCTCTAGTACTGCACACAATACTCCAAGTGAGGTCTCACCAGTGTTCTGTACAATGGCACGAGCACTTCCCTCTTTCTACTGCTAATACCTCTCCCTACACAACCAAGCATTCTGCTAGGATTTCCTGCTGCTTTATTACATTGTCTGCCTACCTTTAAGTCATCAGAAATAATCACCCCTAAATCCCTTTCCTCAGGTGCTGAGGTCAGGACTCTATCAAATATTCTGGACTCTGCCCTTGGGTTTTACGTCCAAGATGCATTATCTTGCACTTATCCACATTAAATGTCAGTTGCCACAACTCTGACCATTTTTCTAGTTTATCTAAATCATTTGCCATTTGGCTTCTCCCTCCTGGAACATCAACCCTGTTACATTTCTTAGTATCATCAGCAAAAGACATACCTTACCATCAAGACCTTCTGCAATATCACTAATAAAAACATTAAAGAAAATGGGTCCAAATACAGTACCCCACTGGTGACAAGCCCATACTTCGAATATACCCCATTGACTACAACCCTCTGTTGCCTGTCACTCAGCCACTGCTTTACCCATTCAACAATATTGGAATCCAAACTTAAATATTCCAGTTTATTGATAAGTCTTCTATGTGCAAAAGTGTCAAAAGCCTTACTGAAATACAGGGCCTTTTTCTCATGCTAGAGCTCTTCAGCAGAGCTCTGCGCATGGTCTGCCCTGCAAGAGCATTGAACCAGCATGCGTACTTTGAGAGGGGGCGTGCTTGCTATTGGTGATGACAAAACACACCCCCTCTAGCCCCGCCTCCTTCTTAGTGGGTTGCTGTGATTAAAAAATGCTTGGGACAAATTTTTTTTCCAGTCCGGCCCTGCACTTCCGTAACAGTCCAGAATCTAGAAATCAACCAGTTATGTTGTTTTTTTTTTTTTAAAACACCTTAGACACAACTTGGTTATCCCTAAATCCTAGACAGGTGGGGAAGGTGGGGGAGGGTGCATGAGGACTGATTTGGGAACCCCTGATCTACATTACATACTTGCATACTTGCGAACTCTCCTGTTTTCGATGGTATGGTCCCATGTTTTGGGCTCCTGTTCCTGTTAAAATTTGTCCCAGGAAATGTGCCACATTAGCTGCAAGCGGACAGGTTCCCTGGCAGATCCACTGTGTAGCTGGTGTTCTGGGAGTAAATGATGCACCAATTCAGCCCTTTCATCTCAACTCTTTGAGATCCCCTGTGACATACAGCTGCCAGAGACTGCCCTCTCTACTTCTGCTGACCTCATTCTAAATATGATGCATGTGTCATTCACTTTTATTACAAGAGCATAAGCCTGCCTTCCCGATTCATAATATTTAAGGTCCACCCCTGTACACACTTTCTTACTCTGCCTCCACCCCAAACGCCATAACTCTGCATCCCCAGCTCATCTCTGCTTCAAAAGTAATTCCACCTTGTCAGCCTTCCCCCGTCTCCCTCTGTGCTGAGAGTGTAAGCTTCACTCTGGAGGTGCTTCCATTAAGACAGCTAGAGAAAGGCAGCACAAGGGTGCCCCTGCCCTGTGTCTGAGTACATGTGGGAGTGAGACCAAGGTAGGAGGGGGCAAGGTTGTCTTCATCTCATGCCTTTTGGAAGTGTGAAATCCGTGTTTCTAATTTTAAACAAAATATTTTTTCAATCTATTTTAAGCTTACTTACTATCTTACTGGGGCATATTTAGCAATGAAAAACAGGTTCTATTTTGGTGAGAGAGCTTAGAGACATTCTGTTGGTTTCCATTGTGATTATTTATTATTTAGCACTTTGCCTCAGAATGGCATCTGTAAATGCCTTGATAAAGCCTCCCTCCACAATTGTTCTAAAGAGCTTTCAATCTATGTTTATACACTAATTAGCCATAATATTAAAACTACCTGCCTAATATCATGCAGGTCCCCATCGAATGGCCAAAATAGCTTGGATACATCAAGGCATGCATAGGCGTGCACAGCCTATTGCATTAAAGCACAAACACATATATTTATTTAAGGCTGGGCCTGTAGTTGTGGGAGGGGCTTGGTTCCCCTTTAAAAGGGCCTCCTACCCTTTCTCTCATACCATTATGGATCTGACGAGTTGCAGGTAACAACTTACGGTCACTCACAAGTCCCCATCTTGCTGTTACCTGTTTTCACTCGTGGGACGGTTTCTTTGTTGCTGGCCGCCGGTAAAATCTTTTGTTCAGCTTACCTGTCTTCTCACTGACCATTCCCAGCCTGCTTTCTGCTCCAGCTCGAAGCAGATTGATCCGGAAGTTGACCGTTGAACCATAAGCTATAGCCCCAGCCATCGTGCCTAGTTCGCATCCCACGGCATCATCTCGACTTCGGTCTATTTCGTTACATACCCGTTTGTATGTTAATTTGTTTCTTTCTGCTATATTATTTATATATGTAATACAAGGGAGCTTTTGGGACTTTGTTAAACTCACAAATGAAGGTCCCGGTTCAGCTACTTTCATACGTTTAGGCTCCATTTCCATTGCTTTCGCACTGTTACAGACAAACAGTTATTCTAGCGAACACTATACGATTCCAAATGAAGTGTTAGAGCGTTTTGCACACTTTCTCCAGAATGCCTTACGCTCTATCAAGTTACACTTCATACAAATTAAAAGGAATTCCCTGTACACTACAGGTGTTCGGGTATTATGGCAATTTGGGACCCTTAACAGCTGCAAAAGGGTATTACAAGCTGTCAATTATTTTTTCTTTTCTATTTGTATCTATGTTAAAGTATTTCTATGTTATTGAATTGTTAAGTAAGGTTTTTTTGTGTCAATCTTATTGAAATGTCAATATCTACGTATCTTATCACATATGTTCCCAGGTTCGGTTTTAAAGTTTGTACACTGTTTCAGGGTTTCTAAATTTCATAGGTTTCATATTGTGCATATTATTAACTAGGTGAGTTAAATCCGGTTTACTTGCGATATATTTGCTATCAGGGTTGTCCTTTTCCATGCTTATTGCAGTTTACTTTGTTATTAGAACATATACTGGGATTGAACAGTTCTCTATTACGTGGTATACTGCATTACGAGGCAGCATTAGATCATTATACCTCATACCTGGCATTCAGGTAGGTTATCTTAATTTATTGGTGGTCAGGGATCTGGCCCCCATGTTATTTCTACAACTCCATATTTACTGTACGTTTCTTACTAGTAGGTTACTGTCAGGTTCCCCTACCCAATATGTTATTACTCGAAAAGTACTATCCACTTTCGGTTTTACAGTCTCAGGTACGTCATGTTACCACATACCATTTCACCACATTACCTTTTTTAGCTAGAATTTTACTGGCTCATAGGGTTCTAGGTGGCAATTAATAAGTATTTTCAGGCCTCTTTGCCTTTTGTTAGTGGTTCCGCAAGGTCAACACCCGTCCTCATACTCGGAGGTATACGCCCCTCGGGCCAACAGTTAGCCGTCTCTCATGGTTGCATAGAGAGGGCCTCACCTGTCACTCCCATTGTATTTTATGCTTTAATTTTCACCAACAGGACAACACACCGCCACAAAACCCCTTGGGCCAATGCATAAATAGAGCCTCTCAAGCCGCTTAGCAACTAGTAGGGCACACCTGTCACGTTCAGCAGTTCTGGAGAATTTGTTGAGGTATCGAGTCATATTGGTGTGCCAAGGTTGTTGTTGGGGGTGCTTACTGCATTTAAATGATGTCTAGTTGAGAGGAGAGGGTGGAATTGTAGAAGGAGGTTGCAGAGTGAGGTTTGAGATAGGTAAAAGAAGAGTTTGGAGATGAGTGGAGAAATGCTCTAGGTCAAGACATTGGAGGTTTCTGTGAGATTGATGTTCAGACAGTGGTGTCAATTGGGTCTTAGGTATGCTGATGTGGAGGCGGTACAGAGATTGGTGAAGGCGAGATCAAGAGTGTTTCCCGCTGTATGGGTTGCTAAATCGGAGTAAGGCCAAAGGAGAAGGTTACAGAGAGCAGACGAGAGGCATCAGTGCTATTGGGGTTGTTGATTTGGAAATTGAAATCCCCAAGTATAAGGGAAGGAGTGCTAGATGAGAGGAAGTAGGGAAGCCAGGAAGCCAGAAAGAAAAGTGCTCAATGAATAGTCTAGGATAACCGGGGAGATGGTAGATGATAGCAATTCTTAAAGGAGTGGGTTTAAATAGGCGGACAGTGTGAACTACAAAAGAAGAAAAGGATAGGGGGAGTTATGATTGGATGAAAGGTACAGTGAGGGGAGAGAAGGATGCCTACACCACCTCCTTAGCAGTTGAGTCTGGAAGTGTGAGAGAATTGTAGTCCACCAAAACATAGAGGCAGGTGTAGCGCTATCAGAGGGGGACAGCCAGGTCTCTGTAAGTGCAAGTAGTGTGAGTGAGTTTGAAATGAAAAAGTTGTGTATGGCTGTTGATTTTAAATTACTGCAGATGGAGCAGGCGTTCCAGAGTGCACACTGAATGTGGTAAATCAGGGTAAAGGGTATTGTGATGGGGTTTCTGGTTTTCTTAGTGTGTATAGAGAAGGTAAAGGGCCATGGATTGGGAGAGACATCACCAGCTGCTAGAAGCAGAAGGAGAGAAAGTGACAGGAGTTGTGAATGGGTTTTGTATGCAAGGGGTATAGGTTGAGATCAATTGTGGGTAGGAGTGAGAGAGTAGAAAATTGAGTGCAAGGCATGAGATGAGAGAAGTGGGGAGTGTAGCAGAGAGGGGCATATGTAAATATGGATGGGGGATGAGTGAAGTGGGTGTAAGGAGATACTTCTATACTGAGGGAGAAGGAGGAAATAAAGAGGAGGAGAAGACAGATCATTGCTAAACTGTGAACAAGTAAATTGGAAATAATTGGAATATCAAGAGCAGGTGTAAATATTAAGTTTTATGGTTTAAGAAAGTGCAGGAGTTTACTAATAAGAGGCAGTGTGTACACCTGTTATTTTTACTTATCTAAAATGTGGGTGTGACAGACAATCTATAAATGTAATAATGAGCATGTGGTGGTGAGGGGTGGGGAGGGGTGATGAGGGAAGGGGAGGGTGGGTATCAGACTTTCTTACAGCAGTATTGGGGCTTGAAAGTTTGGAAATCAGGCTGTTGAATAAAGATATGTGAGGGTCAGTTAGGCTTGCAAGAAAGCTGAGGGAGGGGGATATGTATCTAGGCAGGGAGATGAAGGGATGGTTATTTAAATAAAAACAAACATATGAATAAAAGAAGGGAGGGGTCAGAGATCAGTCAGAAATCAAAGGGATAATAGAGGAATGCATAGAGGTGAATAAAACAATTACATACAGGGCTAGAAAAACTAAATTTTAGCATAACAGACAAGATATAAAGGCAAGAAAATATACAATGCACAGAGGATATATAAAATAAAATAAATGTACAGGGTGGTTAAATTAAATATAAATGATGCTGTGCAGCATAGAGTCTTAGTGTGGTCTTCCAGAAGGCTACCTTTGCTTATTGCAGGCGATCAGCTGATGGAGCACTGGCTTTCTTACAGCAGTATTGGGGCTTGAAAGTTTGGAAATCAGGCTGATAATATACAAGGATTGTAGTATGAATACATTTTGTTGGTACACTTCCTTTTTGTCCTCTTTATTGCAGGCATTTGACGGTTCTGGCACACCAAAACCGACGGGATTAACTTTACTATTTGTATTCTCAACTATGTTATGTTTTACTATTTATGCTATGGCAGTATTGCAACGAACACAAATTTAAAGGGACACTCCAGGCACCCAGTTCTGCCCATTGGAGTGGTCTGGGTGCCAACTCCCACTACTCCTAACCCTGCAAGTGTAATTATTGCAGTTTTTCATAATATGCAATAATTACCTTGCAGGGTTAACTCCACCTCTAGTGGCTGTCTACTAGACAGCCACTAGAGGGCACTTCCTGCATCATAGCACAGAAAACCTGTGCTAGAGCGTTGCTGGACGTCCTCACGCTGTGTGAGGACCTCCAGCGTCGCTCAATTCCCCATAGGAAAGAATTGAAAAGCATTTTTAATGCTTTCCTATGGGGAGCTCTAATGTGCATGCCGGTGGGCAAGACTGATCCCGTCCACCGGCCGGGGAGACCTAATGCGCATGTGCGGCTGACGTAATCACTGGGAGGAATGGCGGCGGAGGAAGAAGCTGCCTCTGGTAAGTTACTGAAGGGGTTTTCACTCCTTCAGCAACCGAGGATTGGGGGGTGAGAAGGAGAGGGGACCTGCAGTGCCAGGAAAACGGATTGTTTTCCTGGCACGGGAGATTCCCTTTAAGGCTGGGCCTATAGTTGGGGGAGGGGCTTGGTTTAAAAGGGCCTCCTACCCTTTCTCTCACACCTTTATGGGTCTGGCGAGTTGCCCCTCCCACCGCTTCCTCTTTTCACATCACCCTCTAAGATGTGCTTTCTTTATTACAGGCCTACTACATTTGTCGGTTCTGGAACACCACAACCGACTGGTTTTACTGCGCCATTTGTATTCTTAGCTATGTGTTATATTTTACTATTATTTCCTATGGCATTATTGCCCCGAACACAAATATATATATATATATATATATATATATATATATATTTATATATATATACACTCATACATATATATACATACATACACTTAATGTAAGGGGGGATGATAGTGAGGGGGGATACTGGAAGGGAGGGGGTAATGGTGGTATGGGAGGGAGTATACTGAGAGGGAGGTGGTAGTGAGGGGTGATACTGGGAGAGAGGGGTTATGGTGGTGGGGGAGGGAGTATGCTAAAAGGGGATGATAGTGAGGGGTGATACTGGGAGAGAGGGGTTATGGTGGTGGGGGAGGGAGTATGCTAAAAGGGGATGATAGTGAGGGTGGATACTGGGAGGGAGGGGGTAATGATGGTGTGGGAAAGAGTATAGTATGAGTGGGGGTGATAGTGAGGGGGTTACTGGGAGGAAGGTGGTAATGGTGGTGTAGGAGAGGGTATACTGGAGGGGAGTGAAAGTGAGGGGGGATACTGGGAGGGAAGGGTAATGGTGGTGTGGGAGGGGGTGTCTGTGGCTATGCAACCCAATGTGAAGCAAACTGTGATGCACTGTTCTGATAGCTTTCCATCATGGCCAGTATTTTTTAGCAATTTGAGTTACAGTAGATCTTTACTCCCCACATGCATCAATGAGCATTGGGAGCCCATGACCCTGACTCCAGTTGTCTTTTTTTGCACCACTTTTGATAACTAATGACCACTGCATACCGGGGAACACTGAAAAGACTTGCCATTTAGAGATGCTCTGACCCAATCATCTAGCCACCACAATTTGGTCCTTGTCAAAGTCACTGAACTTTTCGCAAGCCCATTTATCCCGTTTTGAACACATGGAATTCAAGAACTGACTGAAGTTACTGCCTAATATATCCCACTCCTTGACAGGAGCCATTGTAACAATATAATTAATGTTATTCACTTTACCTGCCAGTGGTTTTAATGTTGAGGCTGATATATATATATATATATATATATATATATAA